TTTTTGAATCTTATTTTTCATCCTTTGTTTTTGCTGTGATAAAAATGGGTGCATAATTTAAATTATGCGGGATTAAAAATATAGTACTTGTGGAAATCAATGCCTGTTTTAATAATTGGCTACATTTTTGCCTACTTTGTGACAAAGACTGCACTGGATGCTGGGGAGACAGAGATGAGCTAATCCGTTGTGGTCCCTGCCTTCATGGAGAAAACAATCTGGTGGAAATGAGATTATCATTTTCATGAGACTCCAAAGGAAATAAATAGGATGCTGTGAAGCTGTAACAGACAAGCCTAAGCTGACCTAGGTTAGGTTCCTCAAGGAAGTCACAAGACCTGTTGTGTGTAGGCACAAGCTAAACAGAAAAGGGGCTCAAAGTCATTGCAGCTGGAAAAGGCTGTGAGGTCTCAGTAGAAGAAGGAAGCATGGAGCAGACTGAGCTAGTGATGAGCAGCGACCTGAAGCTGGAGAGAGAGGTGGGACCTGCATGGAGGATTAAAGGCCATGTTAGGGATTTTGGTATTTTATTCCTAAAGAAATAGAAAGTCATTAAATTTTTTTAAATAGAGGAATGAAATGTTGAAATTATACTTGGAAAAAGGCTGTTCCACCTACAGTATGAAGAATAGACTGAAGGGAACAGGAGAAATACCATTGGATGAGGTAACCTCAAGCTGAGATGCCTGGGTTCAAGTGCAGATTCCGCTGTTTGTTAATACTATCATTTTAGGAAAGTTTGTTAATCTTTCTTACCTCCAGTTTTATAATTTATATAACAGATAGAATAATAATGCCTGAATTAGTAGCATTGCTGAACCAATTGAGGTCATGAATATAAAGCTCTTACCATGCCTCTGGGAGACAGTGTTAACGATGACAAACTTGGTGGTGACTTTAACTGGGGAGGTGACGGCAGGGGTGGTGAGTAGAGTAAAATTCTTAGAAGACAAGACCCGTTGACTTGGTAATTAGCTACATGAAGCCAGGGCAAGTGAAGGACGCAAGCTAGTTAACAGTTTTAACAAAAATACAGTATTTCGGATATTTTTAAACTTTATTTTTATTGTTGACACGATTACAGTGTCCCCATTTCCCCCCACTTTGCCCACCTCCATCCAGCCCCTGTTCCCCTCTCGCCTTCACCCCACTGTTGTCTGTGTCTGTGGGTTATGCATACATGTTCTTTGGCTAATCTATTCACATTCTTTCATGAATTTCAGGTAATTTTTTAATATGAGCAAATATCAGATGGAACATACTTTTACTAAAAAAGTCATTGTTCATTAGGAATTCAAATTTAACTGGGCACCTTGTATTCTATTGGTTCTCCTAGCTCGGATGTTTCAGGGTTCTAGGTTGAGTATCTAAAGAGATGGCGAGGCCATTTGTTGAAATGAAGATGATTAAAGGAAGGCCATGAAGTAGGTTTTCAATGCACTGAGTTTTAGTTGCCTGGGTACAAAGATAGCAGGTACAATGCCAATTATTGACTCACCCTCGCTTTCGTGATAATTGGCACAGAGCTAAGCACAGCTATAAGCACATTTGTACTGGGAATTCATTTAGTGCTCCTACAGAGTGTTCTGTGTTTTGATGTAATCAAAATATGATCATTTAAAGAAAAGACTGGCTAGGAAGCATATATAAAATATCTTCACTTTTTTATTCCAGGCTTTTATATCTCTCCGGGCAATGCCACTGGCTGCCTGCCCTGTTCCTGCCACACAGCTGGGGCAGCTCATCACATCTGTAACAGCCGAACTGGCCAGTGTGTTTGCCAAGATGCTTCCACCGCTGGGCTAAGTTGTGACCGTTGTAGGGACCTTTACTTTGGATTTGATCCTCAGATTGGGAGGTAAATATTTATGAGAATTAATAATGAAATATTTTTATTTAATTATATGTACAATGACTTTTTTATAGCCAACAGTGACTTTTTTGGGCAGTATATTTTGTAAAATGCAGTGTTTTCTGTCCTGCTTAGTTGGTTGATATATTTTTGATTCTTTGATGCCAGCGTTTATTAGACATAATGGTAATTCTTCAATATTTCCTAGAGTCCCAATATATATTAGTAGGTTGTCATACATTGATAGATATACCCAATATTAGGACCTGGCGATATTGAACTTAATAAAATCCTTTTCCCTCAAAGAACTTACAGTTTGAATGTGGAGAAAGACAGGTAAAGAAATATCCCTAAAAGGAAACACACACACACACACACACACACACACAATATAAGGGCTAGAACAGGTAACAAGTATATCTATATTTTGTTTTATGTCGCCCCCGAATTTATTGCTTGTTTATTAATTGACTGCACCCATTTATGTTGCCATTCCCTTTCTAATTTAGATGGAAAGACTGGCAGATAAGAAACATCTTTATATTCAGTGATATGATTTCCCCCTGTGAGTAAAGTACATTCTGAAAATAAATTAATCACTTTTCAAAGTTACACCGTCTTTAATGTTCTTCCCATTTCCTGTATATCTGTGGGCATTTACTTTCATGCATTTGTGGTCATTGCTGTATTTGTGAAGATGTGCTGGAATGCTAATTCCGTGTGGGTTTCTTTTTCTCCCGGTTAGTTTATAAATTTATCTTGGGTTGGGAGTATATCCATTAATTCTTTGGTGTTCCTGTCTCCAAGCAACTAGTATGTGTTTCTCATAAACCAGTCAAATCTGTTTCACTGTGTGTGTGTGTGTGTGTGTGTGTGTGTGTTTATAATTATAATAGCTAATTATTCAAGGGTTTGAGATTTTTGGGCTCTTTTCAACACACTGCTCCCACTGCCTGCCTTTGGCCCTTACACTCTTCATTAACACCTCGATTAGAGTGTGGACAGGGGTAACAGGTGTAATTACTAAAAGAGAACTCAAACCAGTTTATTTGGCTTTTTACTAAAATCCAATATGCTTAATTAAAAATAAAACACTTTTCCATGATATTTAAAATATTTATTAAAACAATTTTTTGTTCTTACTACATAGCATTTTTTAATCCATGCTGCTGCACTTCAGTTACCATTAGTATATCGTTCTGTTAGTCTGAGAGCATAATTCTCTCTTCTCTGCATTTTGGCTAAGACCGAGTATCTAAGAGCATCACTGCTCTTTCTACTATGTGCCTCTTCTCTTGTGCACTGGCTGGGGTGGGAGGCAGGGATGCAC